ATCCTTCAACGATTTTCRATTTTCATTCACTCGAGCACGGGCATTCCGTAGTTTTTCGGAGGCTTCTCATCTGKGCCCAGGAAAACAAAACGACGACACGGAAGGCAACTCCGAATCGTACTTRTAACGGGTTAACATCGAGAATCACAWCCAGAGAGRATTCTCTCTGGCATCACAGCCRCCTGCCTTTGKTTGRTTTGTAGAGCCAATCGCTTCCTTGCTTTGCATAAGATAGRCATGCCCTTGGACAGAACGGRACACCACAGAACTTCCAAGACTGAATCTAAGCTTTCTGAATGAGATTGAACCGGTAGATTCATCGGGAGTCATTCTCTGGCCAGGCCTTGCGGCTACCCCGCTCACCGTATTGCAAGCACCACTAGCATCCAGGCTTCGAATCGCATCGTAAAACACTGCACTGAACRCACWACGTCCGGATGACAGGTACGATTGCGAAAGAGGCAGGAACCTCGAGYATCCCGAGCAACTYGGATGSCGAGRCAWCACCCCCTGCCCATTATTTTTGCGACGAGCAAAGTTTCGACAACTACGAACTGGAGAGCAACCAGAGCTTTCACAGCCACTATTCCATGTCGTCTGGAATAGCAAACCCKCCGATCGTTGTTGGATACGCATTCGGCCCGAAAAAGATGAGCACCATGGGCGTTGTTTTGGCCGAGGCTAGCCGAATCCAGGTGATCCACGAAGAGATCGAAGAAGATGGGTTTGACRAGGATGAGGAAGACCTGCGCGAGCGAGAACGAGACGAGTATTTCGGTGAGCAGCAAGAGGATCCGTCCGCACTGACCAGCGCYGCTCTGAAAGGGCTCGAAGCGGAAACCACCGGAAGAACCCTCGGCGACGGAKACCACCCCGGCCAAGCYGCYCAGGAAACCATCATYACCCTAGGGAACTCTAATGATACCAATATGCAGCACATTGTACGGTACTTTCGTTCCAGCTGCTCGTCGGCTGCCTCGGCGAGYATCGCCAGCATGGGCGAAACGACTGCATCGACATCSACGCCGACAACTGCTACAACAACAACCAACAACACTTCTTCCACATTCTGCACGTACAAGCAGCGACGACATAGCAGCCTGGGAGAACGGAATCGATTTCCGGTCCAGATAGCATTTGTTCCGCTGGATCCCGACCAACCTCTGGAAGATCAACACGGTGGAAAATTTGATTTGATTCTGCACAAGCTGACCGAAGACATTCTGACCTGTTCGCTGATGGAGGACAGCGAAGATAGCAGCGACCGCGGGGACAGCAACGAGATCGAAGCAGGCGAGCAAGCATCGGAAGACCCGTCGCAGAAACGCGTGCGTGCGATTCGAGACTATTGCTACCTTCGAAACCCCAACTGTTGCCTGGTGGACGATCCGAAACGCGTCCAGCTTGTGATGAGTCGTTCACAGATTGCCCGTGTCCTGMAGAACTGCTTGAAYGGCGTCAAGACATCCAGCGGGATTCCTGTCAAGTCGCCTCGGTTCGTTGTCGTCCCCGGGAGTGCACCCCATCGGGACCGAACCCGGGAATTGAAGCAKGCCCTACAGAACAACAACGAAGGGGATGACACGACCCTATCGACCCCTCTGATTGTTAAGCCTCTCATCGCGGCGGGGACCAAACAATCCCATTGCATGTTCATTGCACTCAAAGATTCGGCACTGACGAGGCTTCCCCCGAAATCRATTGTCCAAGAATTCGTCAACCACGATGCAACCCTGTACAAGGTKTATGTATTGGGAGACTTTGTCAATGTATACAGGCGCCATTCCCTTCCCAATCTACCTGCAGATCTCTCTGAGGCTACCGTGGATCTAGTCGAATTCGATTCGCAGAGACCATATCCAATATTAAAGGATTTTGGGTTGGAAACGGAGAAAAGCGACGATGTCAATGCCCGGGGCAGTTGTGCGCAGTTCCCGGTCACGGTCGAAGAAGTAAGACCCATCGTGGAAGCTCTTAAACGAGCCTTTGGATTAGAGCTTTTTGGGTTTGATATTCTAATGGGAAGCAACAGCGGACAGTGTTTCGTTGTAGACGTTAACTACTTCCCTTCGTACAAGGAAGTTCCAAACTTCCCCTCGCTCCTGGCTCGATACCTGACGCAGCGYGCACTAGAGCAGCGTCGCAAGGGAAGAATGCAAATGAATGCTTCTAGSAGCGCCCGGCACAACCGCGATGCCGATAGAAACTGTGGTTCSAGCGTCGCTAGGACTACTCATGGCAGCGAATCAACACCGTGTTCAATCGACGGTTGCAGCGTGACGGACAACAACAGCTCCASCGAACGAGATCTTTTTTTGTCGCGACAAGAAATCAAAGAATGAACATCGGCTTTCCAATTGCATTAGAAGAGTTAAAYGCCCCCGAAAATACCAAAACACACAACGCTGTAGAAATTTTAAATATATATTATAATAGATACGACTATACAATTGTTTCGACCTTTTCACTAGCACGAACGTTCACGKWATAGCATTTGCTTTATCAGTTGGTTGAGGAGAGGTGTTCCTTAAAAATAGTTTGAATGGTTATAAATTGCAATACGTACGAATCGAGACAACTTTTTTTCGTTTGAAGCCATTGGCCGATGGCACAGGAACATTTGTTCTGCGAGCACCTTCTCGATCTATTACTCAACCGAACCGTCATTGCACCATGCGGGTCCGATTTTACCCGGAGGACAATCTAGGGCGCCAGACGTTTTGTTTACCGACAGTCCCGCCATTTCCATAAATTCGTCCCACGATCGTTCCGTGCCTAGCCCATAGTGATCCTTTTCTACCAATACGAAGCCTTGCTCGTCCCCTTCGATCAGTTCTGTTGTGTGAAGCGGATAGCCACAAAGGTTTTTGATTCTTCGTATAGTACGCTTCTGTAGCCAACCATTTTGAAAACCTTTCTTGGCCCTTTAGGTTCGATGTGTGAATATTCGATGCGAGGACACGTGAGTGACATGATCAATAAAATGCTAGGGACAGATAGAAACGGTCCACGACATAAATCCTCKGGGTGTGACAAGTGTCTGTGTGAGATACTACTTACTGAGAGTTTACAGCGCCAACAAATTTCGGAATACCCAAGGAACCTGGTCGGTACTGATGTATTATCAAGTTCTTTCGCGGAGCATATAAATTCCAACCATGGGTCCAGGCACGCATAGAAAGCAGAATCTCTTCTCCCATGAATGTCCATGGAAGGTAAGGGTCAAAGGGAATCTCTTTGAGAAATTGTCCCGGAAAAAACACAAAACCCGCTCCAAGAAAAGGTTGTTGTGTTGGACGTTTTTCGCCTCCTTTGTAACTCCTCCCTTGGTTTATGTGAATGATRCCGTCCTTTCCATCGTGAGGGATTCCGCAACCGCATAGACGACAGCCTGGTGTTTCAATGACAGTCTTGTTGTCGATTTTCGATAAATCTATTTTCCACTTCTTGGGAATGAAAGTTCTTTGGTCAAATCCAGGCGGATAAGTACTCAWCAAAGATTTCGGATAATTCTTAGTGAGTTTAATGTCTTCGATGTACTTTGCATCCCAATCGAAGGCAAAACGCAAATGGGAATCAATCTGCATTACAAATGTCTCACCACCCCAAAGCTTTGAAGCATAGTAACGTGCCATCGACGGGCCAAGACTATCTGTATCATACATGTATAGTACACGAATCTGTCCCTGCTTACAATACTTTTCATAATCCGGCATTGCGCAGAATACCGCGATGCCATTCATATCGGGTCCTACTTCTAGTCGTTTGGTAATAGGCTTGCCCTTGTCGTTTTCGCCTACCTTTTTTGGGCCGGTAAGACAGGGAGTCCCACTTGTGTCAATTGTCCCATCATCCATTTGCTTTCCGAAACAATTTTGAACGACTGCACCGACAAACAACTTGTCTGGATCCTTCGCGTGCCTGAAAGCAGAGACTAGCGTTTCTGCGAGAAGATGCTCTCTGAATGCCGCCAAAGAAATGAAAATTGAATCGTCGGAACGAACTGGAAATATATTTTGCCCTCTGTACAAGTCATCAAATGGTTTAAGATACTTGGCAACAGTCTCATAAAAGTTATCAAACGCCTTGTTTCCGTCTTCSTCTTTTTTCGCCCTTTCTCGGTTCTTTTCGTGTAATTCAGCGAGAAATTTCTGCAAAAGAGCAATGATGCCAGCCATTGATGGCCGTCCCTCCATCAAACTCGCAATGTAATCATCGGCATTCTTCACGGAMTCGAAAAGGGGCAATATCGGAACCATTGGTAGCAAATGTTCTGGGAGACTGCGATCGTTATCTTCACCGGCATGAAAAWATTTCGTCGACATCGCTGTTTCCCTAGATGGTTGCTCCATTTTTTGAGTCATCTCCAGCTGATTGAACATGACAATCTCGATACCGAACACGAAAAAAATGAAGATCACGACCAAGAAGAAAAATGACGTATCRCGTCGGGCCCATGGARATATCCATGATGTCCCTTTGTTTTCCGCTCGKYGTCGCAACGAACCCRTCGCCATGCTTTTCGATACCATCTTGATTCCTRTKCTTATGCTTTGGGAACAGCGCATATGATGTTGATCTACCGGCCGGTAGTGAAAGCAAATAATTGTGGTTTGGGATTGCAGGTCATCCACTATTGCGAGTACGAGTGCGTACCGTACATTCGTACTGCATTGCGTCTTGGCACGACTGCAGAGTGGGGTAACAAAACGGAACTGGAATCAAGTACAATGATTGCGCTAGTGATCATAAAATATGTAATAGCATTGCATCTTACTGGACCACGTACAGTACTGTAGCCATCGTACACTTAGATAAATTTGAACTCCTCGAACGGTAGGGCAATTGGTTTTAGCTTAATTATTGTTGACAATTTTGCTTCCAGTGAACGTCCAACGGATTGATTCTGCAGCTACGTACTCGTATGGAGGGTTCATGTTATTAAATTATGACCCTGCTCGGATGGTCAGTCCTAAGAAAAAAATGAACCTATTTTAAAAATATTGTACGGTACGTGCTTCGTTATTTGTTACAGTATTTTACTACCATACCCTAGCGTAGGTTGTAACTAGAAGTATTACTTTTCCGAAGTACGAACTGCATGGAACAGCAAGTAAACCCAAACTCAGCCCGTCCGTCTTCCGTTTTCAAGTACTGTAGCACTGTAAGACGCTACCGTAGAATTGTTCGTCGTACGATTAAGTGGTGTGATGTAGTACCGGTACAACACATTTGCGTTGGACAGAAAAGTGTATCAGTCGGTTATCGGTACAGATTAACCATACGAGAATACGAGAAGCCGCCGTACTCGTACCCAACGTATATTCAGGACATACTATGAGAAACTGTCGATTACATTCGATTACATCAATGAAAAAGTTACAAACGTGGTCGAGCTGATCTGTGAGGTCCTGAATCATCCATCAACGCCATCAACTCTACAAGTTTGTACTTCTATCGAATAACAAGAGAAAAGAAAAATCTGGAATCAATCATCCGAKTATTGTTTCTTCGACAGCAAAATCAGCATAGTTGAAAATTTTATTGATAAATTACTCTGCAWTTATTCTTATCCGCCAAGATGTTGCGTAGAGTCGCGTTCCTTCTTTACATTATACCTGTTGCAATAACAGATGCCTTCTCTTCKGGAGGAGGAGCACCTACAGGCAACCCAAAAAGCTCGGACGAGCCTGAAGTCGTCTCCAAGAACTTCGTCGAAATCACGAGTCTCAACAACTTTGGGGGACGCAAAGAGTCGCTGCCTGCATCCTTTATCGAACGCTGGCCGAATTGGTTTCTCGAAAACGACGGGACTTTGTTGAGGATACAGGACGAAGAAACCGCTGGTGGACTTGGATACGTGACACCGACCTCCATTGATCAAATTTTTCAACCCGTCGATTTGAAACGTCCTGAGATAAAACTCGCCGTCGGAATACATGTTCGCTCGGGAATTATTCGCCATGTGCTACCCGCGCTAGACATCAGTTACGGGAAAGGAACGCACAGAAATCGAGGTTTGTGCAGTGTTCCTTTGGCACACAATTGGGTTGATTTTGGTTATTTGTCGAGCCTGGCTGATTACAACCGCTACCAGCTGATACTATCGTCCGCCAAACGACAGCGCAGCAGCGATGRCGTGGACAATAGGATATGGGACAAGCTTTCTTCGCTGCCAGGCAATGCGATCGCCAGGGCAATCGAGCGAGCAATTGTTTGTCTTGCTGAGGAGGACTCAGACGCGCTTGGAGAGGGTTCACATATCATTCATATTGCCCTTGATGATGCAAAGGTCTTGGAAATGCCGAAGCCCAAGAACGACGTGCGAGTGACGATGGTTGAGGTCGGCGACGAAGGCGAACAAGATATTGAAATCGGTATCCTCGATGTGGCCATCGTTACCGCCATGAGTGGAAGTGATTCCGAATACCTACCAGAGGCGTACAAGCCTTTGTATTCCGACGCGTCGCTGAGAAACCCMTTGTATGAAAATTTCAAAAAGCGCAAGGCAGAAAGAGCAGAAGAAGAAGCAAAGGCCCGAGAAGAGGCAAAGAAGGAGCTATGAAGTAATCCGATACACTATCATTAACGCTACAATTACTTTTTGCCACCGACAGGTTTCGATTTTGAAACAATACGTTATAAGAGTCAATATGATTTCAATTTGCCATCYTAACATAAAAACACAACAATTCGTTCCTGTCAACTTTGTTCTAATTTTTCTCCAAATCTATCGATGCAAACGTTRGAATGATTTGTCGTCCGCAACCTTTCAGCCTCAGAACGGTGTGGCCTCCTTCTCGATTGATTCTTYGTAATCATGAAGGTATCAAATACTTGTAGAATCGTTTCTACAAAATTTGGTTTCATGTCATAGTGATGATTCTTGAGTACACTSAAATTGCACTTCTTATCTTCTTCATCTTCCCTGAACATAAATAATTATTTCCCTGAACATMAAAAATTGATTATTTTCATCATGTTGCTACTAGTAGTAGCTAGTTGAATTAACTAGACAAGCTTACCCATTAACGGATACTTGTATCGAATCTTACCTATTTCTTCTTATTTTCTTCTGGCCTTCTTCTCCTGAAGTCAGGGCCCACCTGATAGAATTTGTACAGCATCGTCACCAACAGTTCTAGTGGAGCTAACCATTGTCTTAATATGGCACATAGCAAAAGGAACTGAATAATCTACATCATTCTTGCTACAAGTAGTACTAGTACTAGTACTAGTACTAGTACTAGTAGTAGTAGTAGTAGTAGTAGTAGTACTAGTAGTAGTAGCACAAACAATTATAGCTTTTGTAAGCAATACGACCCTCCTGCTGTAGTACTACCTGGTAGCTTTTTAATATTTGGTACTGCAACTATAGTAGACAACCCCCCMTCCCCCAATCATTACTATCATATTTTTCGGAAGCTTTCCCAGGTAAGAAGAACTATTGAAATGAAATTGCCATCAGAATTAGGGTTTACTTGTTGGGTTGAAAGTAGAAACTACTGGTATTTGCGTTGGCGAGCCAATCGTAAGAACTCATAAAAAAAGATACCGTTCACATCACGATGTTCCTTCGTTCCATATCTGTTTTTGTGTCACAGGTAGACCTGGTAGACGGTACAGAAGAATTTTCTACTAAATTCTTCACTGAACAATCTAATCTCAACTTGGTTGAAAAAATTGTCATTCGAAAGAAGATCTTCCATAACTTCACTCCAGAAATGACAAAACTCCCGTCGACGAGCACTGCTGTTCTACTCGCACTTTCCGGWGCATGGCGAACTTGCCTCGCAGAGCCGCTGTGGGCGGACGTTTGTACCGACAATGAAACAMAAAACTTGCCCTTCTGCGATGTAACCCTTGATATCGATGCAAGAATCTTAGATTATGTGGATCGTATTCCCTTGAATACYAAGATYTYTATGATGGGGCACAATGCGTCGGGTTACGAAGCTTTGAAKATTCCTCCCTACCAATGGTGGTCAGAAGGTTTGCACGGCCCGCTGGAGCCATGTGTTCAATACAAAGATAGTTGCGTATGCCCAACGAACTTTCCCTCTCCATCCGCCATGGGCAATGCATTTAATCGCACTTTGTACCGCCTTGTGGGTCAGGCCATCGGAATCCAAGGTAGAGCCATTTCGAACTTGCGCGTCCACAATTTAGACATCGGTGATGGATTAACATACTGGTCACCCACTATTAATATGCAGAGAGACCCACGCTGGGGTCGAAACCAAGAAGTTCCAGGTATGTCTTGATATAATGCCATCGGTGATGCGAAAGTGAATATTGTGATTGAATGCATGCGATGCGTTTCTGTACTTAATTGTTGCTTTTGCTCGATATTTTGGGGACAGGGGAGGATCCATTTTTGACTGGTCAGTACTCGAAGGCATTTGTGCAGGCACTACAAGGAAYCGATTTCCKTGACGACAAAACTAAGAAAAAATCGATGACAGACAATAAAGATAATAGTGACATAAACATGGCTGCATGCTGCAAACATTTTCTTGGAAATTCGCTGGAACACTGGGGAAAGTACGATCGTTACAATTTCAATGCCGAAATCGATGACTATGATTTAAACAATTATTATTTGCCCCCATTTGAGGAGTGTACGAAACACGCTGTTGGTGTTATGTGCTCTTACAATGCAGTGAATGGGAAACCCACGTGCGCAAGCGACTGGCTTTTAAAAGATGTACTCAGGGATAGAATGAACTTCACTGGGTACCTTGTTACAGATTGTGGAGCTGTAAGCAGTATTGTTCATGGCCACCATTATGCTATTGACAACGTCCAGGCTTCGGTGAGTTTGGTAATCTCTTCTCATCTCAGCGTTCGAATTCGATCCGATTGTGGACTGAACTCATCCATTTGACACGGGATTCTATTCGCATCATTTTCTCCTCGACTCGTGTTCCAAATTTTCCAGGCATTAGCAAAAAATGCGACTGTTGATGTCAACTGTGGCTCTCAGTTTCAAGATCACTTGTTTACGGCTTATAGTGAGGGTTGGGTTGAGGAGCTGACCATCAACGAATCATTTCAGAGGATGGCAAGAATTCAGTTTCGTCTCGGATTGTTTGACTCAACAAAAAAGGATGCAGTGAATCCTGAAGCAGATATGGCATCTATTGATTCGCCACAGCACCAGCAATTGGCTTTGGAAGCCGCCTTACAGAGCATCGTTTTGCTTCAAAATCAGAACAATACATTGCCTTTGGACAAGACTGATAAGAAATCTCTAGCGGTCATTGGTCCCCATATCAATGCTCGTGGGGCATTAATGGGCAACTACCATGGTGCAAAGTGTGGGTGTCGCAGTGACGGAGGAAGGAGCCATGACTTTAGCTGTGTCGAAAGTCCTTTGGAAGCAATTAAGAGAACTACGAAATTCCCAGATCAAGTGAAATCTGTTGTGGGATGTACTATTGGAGATGATAGTATTGATRGGGTCAAGGATGCGACAGAACTTGCACAAAATTCGGATGCTGTGATCCTCTTGCTAGGATTGGATCAATGGCAAGAAGGTGAGGAACATGATAGAAACGAAACCTCCTTGCCTGGATTACAAGCCAAATTAATGGATGATATACTAGATGTAGCTGGTGGCAAGACTATTGTTATTTTAATACATGGTGGAACCGTCTCCCTCGGTGATGCGAGGCACAAAGCAGGCGCAATTCTATCGACCGGATATGGAGGACAGGCAGGAGCATCTGCTATCGCCAGTGTTTTGTTTGGCGATTACAATCCTACCGGGAAACTCGCGGCTACAGTGTATCCGCCCTCCTTCGTTCATGAACTACCCTTGACAGAGATGGGATTGAGGGTAGGAGTTGGTAGGACGTATATGTACTATACCGGTGAAGCCGAGTTTTGCTTTGGACACGGCCTATCCTATAGCGAGTGGAAATTGGACTGGGTAAATGATACTCATGGCAATATAAGTAGAAGCAAATCTCCTCAAGCACTGGTTCTACACGACTCCACTTCAATTCGCTTTCATTTGCGAGTAMAAAACAGTGGTCCACACACACCCGGTAGCAGGCAAACGATTCTTTTGTTTTGGCATCCAACCAACAGCATCGGAGACACTGATCACCGTGGGAAGGAAACGACAAGAAAAATTCGACGAAAGTTAATTGACTTTCAAGAAACAAGCTTCTTGCAAACAGGAGAGTCGGAAGTTCTAGAATTCGAATTGGCTTGGAACGACTTGGCTATGTGGGAGACTGGGAGCAACGCATACACAGTGTTGCCTGGKAGTTACGAACTGGTGATTCAGGCAGCCGATGCTTATCTCACTCGACCGCTGAAGGTGGTATCCTCGAAGGSTCTGAATTCATCTTCACGGTTGAGGCACCCCAATGCGACATCTTTCGACTGATCATTGTCGTTGATGTCATGCGAATCGCCTTTGTGCATCCATGTACATGTAGCATAAATGAAGCCTGCTTCTCAARTATCATATTTTTTAGATAAAGATAGCAGTGGAAAAAAGGAGTCATTTAAAGTAGTCCGAACATCAATAGTTGACAGTTTATTAGATATACCCATATTTTAGCAACCACAGTCCCCATCCACGATCGTTCAGATCCTTCGACGGATCYAATRCGTTATTACTCCAGTGGTGCCATCGGAAGGGCAACACCGAGCATAGAATCTCGCGTGACCAGTTGCTTGAGCTCGTTCTCGGACCAGCCGYCCGTCCCCTTCGGTCTCTGCGGCATCACGAGATAGCGATGGTCGGCGGTGGAATCGTGAACCCGAATCGATTGGGTTTGGGGCAGCTGCGTTCCAAATTCGTTGAGGACCTCTCTCGGTTCTCGAACCGCACGGGATCGAAACTCACTAGACTTGTACCAGGGAGGWGCAATTCCCAACAGACCGGACGGATAACAGCTGCAGAGAGTGCACACAATGAGGTTGTGTTCCTTTGAAGTATTTTTTACAACGGTGAGTACCGTCGGTGMATTCGGATTCGAGGTGTGGATGCCCAGTTCCAGGGCCGCACCGGCCGCATCCTCCAGCAATCGTTCTTCAAACACCGGATCCATCCAGGCCCTTGCGATTAGATCTCGGCCCGCCATTGWTCGACCGGCAGAGTCAAGGCCTTCGATCATGGCTCTGACTTCTTCTCCCGAAACTATTTTCTTGTCCAGGATGGTTTGGAGAAGCCCACGAAAGAAGTCCTCGCCCGGACGAGGGGGGCCTTCGTCTTCCACTGCCCGCTTCTCTGTGATGGTGCGTGGATCGTGTGAATTTCCGCCGTGAGAATGGACGTCTTGGTGGGAACAGTCCCTGCCGTCSTCTTCGTGGTTGAAGAGTTTCATCTCCTGATAGCCGTGTCCTGAATTTKTGTCCGATGGAACCARCCAGTGTTCATAGACTTCTATGCTCAGAGTGTTTTTTTCGGAAACTTGTTCCGGCCACAAATCCTCCATGGAAATCTCCTGGSAATGCGGGTTGAAAGCAAAAAAYGCATGCACGGAAGTGGTGAATCATCGTCCAAGAGTCGAAATAGGAGGCGGACTTGTGCTGCACCACGGAACCAAAGCTGATGAGCGAACCCGTTTCATTCTGCTCGCACTGCACTTACGACTCTGTACAACCAGACCTCTGGAGCTTCGAGGCCCAAGGCCAAAAACGAAGGATCTCCGAATCTACCGCACACATCGACAATCCTTCCATTTACACCATAAACGTAACCGGGTGTGCGGATGTGGGGCCGCCTCCACTCGACTCCATCTTGGAACGACTTTAYACGAACAGAGTCTCCGGCCCGGAACTCGGGTGGTTTYGAAACAGAAGACCCGGCATTGTTTTCMTTTCCAAACAATGAGCGCCTCAGATCSTCGTCGGATATCAGTCCCCGGTCCAGCAAGAGGGTTGCCATTGCCGCACTCCAACGCCCGTAATAGCTCCACTCGCTGTATTGTTYCGGTGTCAGGTCTTCGATGGCACGGCGCAGCTGATCGGTCTTGATCACGTCCTTGGAGGCTAGGACGGCGAAAAGCGCGTGGCATTCTCGTTCCCATGCCCGCAGATCGTCCCCGGAAGAGCCGACGGGGATTGGTGACCGAAACCCCGAGTTGCCGCCCAGGTCGTGSGGAAGGTTCGGGTGGCAAAGAGGCGTTGTCGATCCAAGCGRGCGCCGCGAACGGTGGCGCATCCACACCGACGAGGAAGACACCGTGCGCGGCTCGGGCCCACGGCAAAATGCATCGTTGCTCGCGGAATGGAATGCGGATCGTTTCGTTGCGATTCCTCGATGGACAATCCGAGTGTTCCACCGATGGAGACCTCGAACGCCCCAAAGATCGCCTCGGAGCGCCATCGTCGTTGCCGAACCCACAATCACGATTGTTCGCTGGTAGTAATTTCCGAATCCGAAAGAAAGATTCTTCTTAAAATACTGTTCGTACTACCGGTACGTACGCCTAGCAGTTCGCAGAGGACAGATCCTTTCGCACAAGGGGGGGGGGGGGTTCAGGGTTTCGCGCCACGCTTTTCCCGCAAAATTCAATCCATGTCTTGAAATGAAAATGACTCGATTGATTTGAGGCTTCGTAGCATCTTGTAGTGGTGCCTACTATACTACTCCCACGTAAAGTACTCGTACCTATTAATTACGCCTCCACTCCATATCCTGCGTCGTCGTCCTCGTCTTCCTCATAAACCAGACCGTAGTAACCGTACTCGTACCTCGCACCGTACGGTACGGTATTTTACCGTAGTCATCGTAATCGTACCTCACCGGCACAATTACGGGTATAGTTGCAYGCATACAGTTGAAAAYAGTTGTATTTTTAGTGGCCAAAATGACTGAGACTTTTCCGGAAAGAGAAACGAGATCCCATGCGCATCCAAATTGCTTGCTGCAACAGGACCAAGTGCCCGTCAGCTTCACAGGTACTCGTTGTCAGTATTACCCAGGGCATTMCCTAAGCTCCACCTTCCCAAGCAAACACACGGAATCAAACCGACGACTCCGATCGCTATACCAATACCGTAATCAATCTCGTGCCACGACGAYCTATTCCCTATCCCCAGGATGAGGATGAAGAATAAGAAGAAAAGCAGGMCCTCGAAGAAGGACAGGCACCTGGTCAAAGACGCAATCACCAATCTTTCCCAGATGAGAACCAACCTCAGCCAGGCCCCCAGCCKCGATGAAGAGATGGACGCCCTCATCCAGAGGGASGGCGTAGACAGCAACCATGCAGCAACTTCAACCGGTGGTGGTGCACTGTGGAAGGTTCTTGCATTCGTCATGTTTGGACTCGTGGTTCTGCTTGCCACGGACGTGATCGAGTTCAAAAAGTACACCAATCCATTCGGRAACGACTCCAAGCTCAGCAGCAACCCGTCGGCCGAGGCCGAGACGGCTCACGAAATTCTCAACGGTTCCGTGGAGCAAAAGCCCTCGGTTTCCGAGGMGTTGCAGAAGGCGAAGGCTACCCAGGCGCCAACCAAAACCRYCTGGATCGAGATAACCCCTCCGCCGACCGMRTCCCCCACGATCAAGGCGACCCCTCCGCCGACCGMATCYCCCACAATCAAGGCGACCCCTCYGCCGACTCTGCCCCCTACGGAGAAGCCCACCATGCCTCCAACGGAAAATCCCACAGCAAAAGCAACCCCTGCCGCTACGAAAGCAAAGATCGAAGAACCAAAACCCAAAGCGGATTCTACACCGGCGCCCGAACCGACAGCAGCAGAATCGACCAATCAGCGGCACACGTACAAACCGCGGGGTCAGCCCATGAGCGACGAGGACCGGGCGGCGATGGARAGCAAGTGGGGGAAATGGACACTCGAGRCGGACAMAAAGGCTCGGCCCATGGATGATTACTACGCYGCGTACCCCAACCGCGACGTGCCCCGAAGCGCCTTTCCCGCCAACGCCTGGCAAACCGACACMGAGTGGCTGAGCAAGTTCCTGCCCGAGGGCATCAAACTCGTCGATCGCGCAATCAACGCGATCCTGGAGGAATACGGCCAGCCCACAGACGGAACCTCGGATCTCTTTCACTTGGAAAAATACGAGGCATGGAATGCCAAGATGGAGAAGGAGCACTGCAAGAAGCAGGTCGGTTGCACCACCACAAAGAGCTTCGAAAACCTCAAGCGCAGGCTCTTGCACGCCATCATGACCGAGGACATGTTCGTCTTTGCCATGGGGGGCCACAGCAGTGCCGCCGGACACGGAAACCATTTTGTGCAGAGCTACACTCTGCAGGTACAATGGATCCTGGAAGGGGTGTTCTCGCGGCTGGGTGTCCGGCACCAATCTAGAAATTTTGGACTCGGTGGACTGGGAACGACACAGAGCGGAATTGCTACGAAGCAGATCTTCGGGCACGACATCGACATGCTCATGTGGGATTCGGGAATGACCGAGAGAGAAGAAAAGGCCAAGGACATGTTCTTCCGGCAAGGTATTCTAGGGCCCGGGAAAGTTCCAATGATTGTGGCCGCTCCCGAGGTCAGCTCGCTGCTGGTCCTAAACGAACACATYGATGCCGATGTGCTCATGATCGGCGACCAGAGCGCGATGAAAAAGGCCGAAACACTGGAAGAAGTCGCAGCAATGCCATGGGCCTCGCAATACGTTCGCTGCGGAAACGAGATCTCCGACATCTGCCGCGACAACGAATACGCCGGTGTGTGCTGGATCGAGCGCGACGATTTCACGCCGGCGCAAGCACAAGACAAGGTAATGGGCGGTCGGGCGAAGTGGCATCCCGGCAACAGAAAGCACCAGGTCATTGGCCGSGCGATCGCCTTTGCAATCCTGGAAGCCCTCAGGGAGGCCCTGGTAAYGTGGAACGATGCGAACGGATACGAGCTTCCGGACGATGCGTGGCACCTGACCCCGCTCTTTGAGAACACCCGTTCCAAGCTCGAAAACCTGGATCCGAGCATCGGGAGCTGCAAAGAGTAYTCGGAATTGTCCACGKTTATGTGCAACAAGGCCGTCAAAGCCCGTCTCGAGTTCACTCCCAGGAGTTACCCCGATCACACAAACATTCGTACGTTGCTGCCACCGAGCCAGGCCGAGCACATCAAYCCTCCACCGCCGGTTCTGTACTCGGCCCCAGACGTCTTCAACAAGGATCTTCATCCACCCGCTGGTGCCGTAGACGTCCTGAACATCATCGAGGCCGGTACTCCCTTCACGTCGAATCTCGTTCCGGACTACACAAAGTTCTATCCAAAGCCAAAGTTCGAGAAGGCACCAACCCTTCCCGTAGGCAAGGGCTACCACCTRAACACCTATGCTGGCGTTTGCGATGGTTCGGTAGATTCCTGGTGCAGGAGGAACGAGGGCGAAAAGTGTCTCCTTTCCGGACAYAACGATGGGAGAAATGGAATACATATGGATTCATACTGYGGATGGTTCGTAACAAACCTACCGGATGTCAAGGTAAGTCTGGGGTAGTTTCATATCCATCGAAAGGGTACAAAACCAATTTTTCCTTTGTGTTCGTGTTTTTGTTGGAGCGTCTTTTTGGAGGCAGGCGCAGAGCATCTCACACCATCTTGCATGGTYTGTGCATATCTTTTGTATACAATTCTTGTCCGCAGCACGGSTTCATTSTGCTGAAGATTGAGACGTGGCATCAGCCGAAAAGCAATCCCAAAACRGCATCCTGGAACTCGATCAACAACGAAGGCGACGGGGACACCCGAAAGCTGTCCGCGGAACGCGACGGACGCTTCTTGCGGTCGACACCGTCCGCAACAAACCAGAGCACTGCAGCCACTCTTGACGACCGCCACGAAGACGGTAGAGAACTAAAGGCCAAGGTGCCGGACTACTGCCCCGAGTTTGCGTTTGAATTTGCAATCGACGGAAAAGTAACAACATGGAACTACGATCAATACATGGAGCACATGCACCTTATCCAACGCGTGGTAGAAGTCATCAAAGTCGCCGAAGATCCCAGCATCACCGGTGGCGAAGAAAAAGAAATCGAGTTCGCCTTTCGCATCACGGGCTGCAAAAATGTCAAAGTGATGCATATAACGCATATATACTGGGCATGAGAAACAAAATGCAGATGATTGCTAATAAACAACGATCGATACGACAGAAAGACTATTAATTTTCTCGTAAAGGAACGAATGGCTTGGTTTAGGCGTTCGAAATCTCGATCAAATCTTGAAACGGAGAGTCCCTTTGTTTTTAAGGGATGGGCTGTTGGTTTGGTTACCAGATGCGATCTCCCGCTTTCCCGTTGCCCTTTTTGTTGTGTTCGAGGACCCTCGAGATGAGCGAGGGCGAACCAGGAATGCGCTCTGCTTCCTCGGATCTCTTTGCGCTAGCTTTGCCGCTGCTGCACACCGCAGAAACGGCCTGGACGTGGCCCTCCAGCGCTTCCTCGTAGGTCCGCAGCTTGTTTTCGCTAATGTAGAGACGGAGCTGMAGSGCCTGGATGAGGTTCTCGTATTTTTCCTTTTGTTCCCGCAGCGCTTTTGCGTGCGTGAGCCGCTCCCTCTCCAGCAGGTCGTTTGCAGCCGACAGSTCTCGCTCCAGGGCCTCCGTTCTCTCGGATAGCSCGCCGGGTTTCGGATCGTCGGCGATGGAGGCGGAAGCATTGTTCGGGTTCAAAAAAGGGCTCTCCGGCTGTGGTCCCRGTGGCGAGGATATGCTCCTGATAATCGTGTCGACGGGGTCGCTGCGAAGATCTCGCTCTGGCAAAGGCGRGGCGTTGTTCTGGCCGGTGCCGTGCTCGATTCCGTCGCGTTCCGGGGGAAGTCCTGGGTCCCTTTTCGAGACGGCAACGGGAATCGCAACATCCTGCMCGATCGTGTCTCTGCCCTCGGGGATGGCATCGCCCAGAGAAGAATTTCTCTCGGCCCTTTCGTCCCCCCTCCTTTTGATTTCCACCCACGGGCTWTCTTCCGCCTTGTTGTCACCGCAAGGAGAATTCTCCGCTGTGCGTCCACCTTCTCTTTCCCGGGCATTCCTTTTTTCCCCGTCCCCCGTGTCGTCTGGTGCATTGTCCTCTTTCTTGCTGGCAGCCGGTTGCGGCTGGTGCTTGTTCTGCTTGTTCTTTCGTTGTTTCTTGCCCCCTGCCGGCTTGTTGTTCCTTGCGGACGCGCGGGATTCCTCCTCTCTCAGCAGGGATTCCAGCGCCGCGCGGGAGAGGGATTCGAGTTTTTCGCACTCCCTCCAGAGGTCGCGCCGGACGATCTCGTTCTGCTTGTTCGACGGGTGCACCCTCGCGGTCAGCCTGTACGGCTCGGAGGTCAGCGACGAGGCCATCCACGATGCYTGTTCCGCGCTGGGGGCGCCGGCCCCGGGGCMGTTCAGAGCGGCCCAGTACTKTTTCTGCAGGGCCGCRAAGCGTTTTTCCCGGGCGTGCGAAAAGCAATGCGGGCGGGGGTGCGACGGTGACCGGTTCTTCTCGTCTGCGGCTGGCGGGTTCCGGCCCGGTGGTTTCTCGTTCCCGTTCTGCTGGTATTCGTCCTCGGCAATGGCGATCCCMAGCAGGTACACAAGGAACCGCGGTATGTTCAGCTCGCGCTGTTCCTCGGTGGGTTTCAGGTCGTTCCCCACCCGGTTGGCAGCGAGTTCCGCAACCAGTTGGTCCGCCGCTCGGAGTCCCATTCGTTCGTGTGCCGTGTCGTGTCGTACAGTGCCGCACAGTGCCGCACAGTGCCACACCCGTCCCTATCCGCCGTGCACGTTCGGGCCTACCTCTTGATGGTCTCGGAGCGTGTGTGGGCGTTTTTGGAGGGTTTTGTGACACCGACGATGGGTGTTGGATTTTCAGTCTAGTACTACTAGAAGTAAAAAAACAAAGCCGCACAAAATTCAAAATTACTTTAATCTTTGATCAGTCGTAAAGTTCCTCAGTGTACCTACGTACGTACGTACCATACGTTAATCACTACTTACAGCATCCATGATCAGTGATCAGTCGTACAGTTCCGCAGCTTACCGGTACGTACGTACGGTACGTACGTACCATATGTTATGCACTATTCCATTTACCATCACCATTAACCATTACCTGGTACCCACACATGCAAAGGATCTATTTTTCTCGAGGTAGCAGTCAGTTTATCAAAGAATATTGAAAAAATAAACCTTGCCACCACTTCGTCAWATGAATACATTGCAGCTACTATCTGCTCGAACCTATTCAATGCCATTGATTGCGTTGTTCAGTTCTGTAGAGTAGSGTACTTATGTACAGGACGGTGTGTTCGTCCTGATCAATCGCTACTACAGCAGTGATCTCCAGTTTGTGTCRAAACCATCGGAGTTACTGGCTGGCAGCTACTACCCGTACTGTTGGGAAGCAATGGCTTATTCCAAATGGAATTGATGCTTTTTAAGATCGGTTGTTAAATTTTATTCATGCGACCGAATGCGACTTCGTCATCGTACTATAATATTATGGTGACATTAAAGTCAGGCACCAGCGCCCAAGAACCAATGTCTGGTACGGACGCGTATTCTGGGTCACCAGAGCTATTCTTTGCAGAATGCGACGGTGGCTCGGAATCCAATCAGGCAATGATTTGTTCCGCCTTCAAAAARGYCAGCAGGGAGAGTCCCTCCATGGTCACCATCGAGAGCGTCGCCAGAACGAATCCGAGAGCGTGGCCGCCGTATCCCCCCGAGTACCCCTTCTGGTGAAGGATGCGCCCCAGCGAGAACACGACGACGACRCCAAGGACCTGCCTGGGAAAGACGTACCCGACGGGCCCGATCGAGGCCARAAAGGCGCCAAAGTTTTCGACCATGTGCTGGATGGACCGGTTGGMGCGGTTGTACATCCCCTTGCTTCCTTCCTCCTGGTAGTAGACCGGTGTTTTCTTGCCGTCGTGCGTCTCGTAAAAGAAGGGGTTGCTCCGGATGTTCCCCTTGAGGCCGCTCTTGTARCYGGTGGGGACGAAATTGAGCAGCTGGATCGATCGGCCCAGGACGACSAGGGCCAGGAAGACCCACTGGAGGTCCTGTTCCTTCAGGCCCGCAATCTTGRCGTCGCGGAGTTCCTTGGATCCGTCGAATGCGGTGGCGGCATAGGCGATYCCGGTGCCGATCGCCAGMATGACGGTGACCRCAATGGAGATCTTTGCGTAGTCGGGTGGCTTTGGCGTTCCCCCCTCGGTGGAAGGAACGGCGTCGGCCTTGGTTTCTTTGGTGAGTGGGGTTGTTTCGCTCATGGTTGTGGTGCTGTGGGATGGACTGCAAGAGTTTCTTTTCTCGATCACTTGTGTTGCTGGAGTTGTTTTGCTTTGTTTTGTTTTGTTTTGTGACAGGACTCTGTCGCAGGCGGTGAGCTCACGACACGGAGATTCGTCGAGACGGTTCGTGCTACTGTAAGATCGGAAAAATCTCCTGCCGATCCCGATCGTCTGACTGCGAATACTAGTACTCGTACTTGGGGTACCCTACCAACGGTACGCACTTTCATGTACTAGAGCTACCGATTCATTTCTGTACTGAATTTTATACGTACAAGTGAACCGCAATCCTCAGTCGTGAACGAGGAAAACGACAAAAGAACTTCACCGAGGCGCGGTGAAAAAGGCTCCATTCTCGGGATTTAGCCTCACAACAACATGATCGTACAATACGGTACTTGTACCTATTGTACCTACAGTACGTACTTCGAAGTATGAAATTCTACTTGAATGAAAGTACTCTTACTCTTACGAGTACGTACCGGTACGGACCGGTATCTAGTAGCTAGCACTTGTACTAGTAATATGACAACGTATGGCACAGTACACGTGCGCACCTTACTAAAATCAATCAAGATCAAATCAAGATTAAATCATCGTCTTGCACCATGCATCGTCCGTTTTGATCGATCGAGTCGAATGAATCAATCATCGAATGACATTCATCGAAATCGGGTCGAAACCAAAAGTCAATCAGAAACTGAACAAAACAAAAACAGTTGCATCGACCATTTCACATCGATCGCATCGAACCCGATCTTTCCTTCGTTGGTCGCAAGAAGTGATCCCAGCCCACAAATACCCAGCCGACCAGGTATACCTACACGCAGAAGTACCACCACTACAACAGCACTGCCACCACCACCACCACCATCACCACCACAACAGCAACAACGACCAACACACCATGGGAGTCCCGAAATTCTTCCGGTGGCTGTCCGAGCGGTATCCCAAGATCAACCAGCGGTACGGGAGCCTCCCCGATCCGGACACCGCCCGGGATCACTTTCCGGAGCGATCCTCGCCTCCCCCGACGCCCTTTGAGGAACCCGATCCGATGGCCACCTGCGGCCTGGGGGCACCGCCCATCGACCGCCTCTACCTGGACATGAACGGGATCATCCACGGATGCTCGCACAACAACGACGAGGACGAGAACAAGAACGTCGCCGGCAGCRGCAGCGACAAGGACACGGACGCCTCCGTGGAGGCGGGGTCCCGCAACAAGGCCGGCGGGATTTCCAGGGAGGAGATCTTTCGGAACGTTTGCTACTACCTCGATCGGGTCGTCGGCGACATGGTCCAGCCGCAACAAATGGTCTACATGGCCATCGACGGGGTGGCGCCGAGGGCGAAGATGAACCAGCAGCGGAGCCGTCGGTACCGGAGCGGTGGAGAGGGAGAGATCGAGACCACCATCTACGAGGCCCACCGAGCGGCGCAGGACGAGAAGGAGCGGCTGCGGAGGATGGAGGAAGAGGGCTTTGACGACGAGGAACGCGAGAAAGAGCAGGAGCTGTACGACGCATCGTATTCTTTCGTGCTGGACCACAACGAGGGCAATACCATTCCTTCGTCCTACGGCAACAACCGAGAGGACGAGGAGAACATCATGCAGAAGAAAACGAAAAGGGACGCCAAGAATCCGATCGCTGCCGGCGGAGAAAACGATGCGYACGGAAACAGCWGCAGCAGCAGCAGCACAACCTCGTCGGGTGGTGATCTACAGGAGGTGACGCGGGGACGGTTCAAGGGAAAGTTCGAATCGTCCTCRTCGTCSATCACGAGCCAGGAGGTCGTTCCTRCCGCGGCAACGAATGSCTTTCACTCGAACGAGATCACCCCYGGAACGCCCTTCTTTTCGGAATTCACAAARCACCTGGAGCACTTTGTCAAGCGGAAGCTGTCCACGGACCCAAAGTGGAAAAACCTGACCATCATCTTTAGCGGGCCAAACGTCCCGGGAGAGGGAGAACACAAAATCATGCAGTTTTTGCGCGAGCAACGGGAACTCCCGGACTACGATCCCAATCTGCGGCACTGCATCATGGGGCAGGACGGGGATCTGATCATGCTGGGGCTTCTRACTCACGAACCCAACATGGTCTTGCTCCGGGAGAAGGTCGTCTTCAACATGTCGAGCGCCCGGCTGGAAAAGGCGCACGCCGCGGAAGCGGCGTCGAGCGACAAGGAATCGACGCCGCTGTCCTCCTCGCTGGACAGCTACATCTACAATCCCCACTTTGAGTTTTTGCACCTGCAGGTGCTGAGGGACTACCTGGCCTACGAGTTCGAGACCTCAAACGTCTTGAGCTCGTCGCCGTGGGATCTGGAACGAACGATCGATGATTTTGTCTTTTTGACCTTTTTGATCGGCAACGATTTCCTCCCCCATCTCCCGGCACTGGACATTGCGGACCAGGCCTTTGACTTGCTGTATTATACGTACAAGAAATGYCGAAAGGGATGGCTGGAGGATTACCAGCGGGGCGAACGTGCMGCGCCGGAGCCCTATCTAACCCACGCCGGGAACATCGTTTCCGGCCGGCGGCTGGAGGAYTTTTTGACCGCGGTGGGAAGCCACGAGGTGACGTACTACGAAAAGAAGAAGCAAACGGCCGAAGCCGAGAACCGACGCCTCCGGAAACAGTACAAGCGGCTGAACATGAAGGACGCCCTCCCCGACGACTCCATCGTGGCGTCCAAGGAAGAATTCGACCGTGCCGCGTACCGCGAAATGCTGCARCGAATGGAACAGCAGGACGGCARTCCCTCCTCGATCCCGGGCAGCGGCACTTCCGACAATAGCAGCGGCCRACACGGCGGGCAAAGCAGCGATGAAACGACGACGGAAGAAGGCAGCGGTTTCGTGCCGGTAACCACCCAAAAAGTGGAGTTCCAGCCCGTGGAGGACCAACTCGAGGAGGGSCTGATCCACAGAATGGGAACMCTGCTGCAAAACTCTCTGAGTAATACTGCTTCGAATGGCAGCTCCGCCGAGGGAGACGACGACACCAAGTTCCTCCTGGCCGACATTGACGACCAAGACCTAAAGGGTCGCTACTATTACGACAAGTTCCAATTYACGCCATTCGATGCCGACAAGCACCTTGCTCTCCGCAAGGCATACATGGAGGGCTTGGTATGGAACCTCAAATATTATTACGAAGGCTGTGTGTCCTGGGATTGGTTCTATCCGTACCACTACGGTCCCATGCTGAGCGATTTGGTGAACCTAGACGAAATACTGAACGATATATCGTTCGACGACAATCTCGGTGCACCCCTCAAGCCATTCSATCAGTTGATGGGGTGCATGCCCCCGAGCCAGGCCCACCACCTGCCCGAAATCTATCGAGGGTTGATGACCGATCCCGACTCCCCGATCATTGACTTTTATCCGAATTCCTTTGTCGTGGACATGAACGGAAAGCGATGGCCGTGGGAAGCTGTAACATTGCTGCCCTTTATCGATTCCAAACGACTCATTGAGGCTACGTCCGGCATCGATCAGACCAAATTGTCCGAGGAAGAGCTGGAACGGAATACGATGGGAACCACCGTTGTCATGGTGCACGATCCGAGCCACGCAGAAGCCATTCCAAGCGTTGGCRAGASCAAGATGTTTCGGGAGATCGAATCGTGCTCTGCGGTTACCGTTGCGTACGAGGACACCGAYCTGAACTATACCCTAAAGAAACCCCCTGTGTTCAAGCCCGAAATCAAGGCGGGGACCAGGATTCCGTTGCCCGGCTTTTCGACGCTGCGCGATGCTCCTGTAGAGACACTTYATCGCAGGCGGCTCGGAATCAACGTTCACGGCGGGAAAAGCAGGTACAAAACGGCCAGCCTCGAGGTTTCCAGTGCGATGCCCCCGCTCCCGCCAGTCGAAACACTGGCTCCCAAACTCATCGGTACTACCGTCTTTATCAATTACCCGTTCTTTGTGGAGGCTCTGGTCACCGCGGTCTCGGACGAAAGGGTTACCGTCCGCGGCAACAAAGAACCCAAAAAATGGACGCCGGAGGAGGCGAATCGATGGAGGCTTCAACGGGACGGAGTCATCCGGCGAGCCGAAGTCGGAGAAGGATATTGTGGCACGGGAGGGCTGATTGTCCCCGAAGACCAACCAATCACTTTGTCCGTCAGGCCCTTCCAGGGCTTTATCACTACCAAGAGTGGTCAAAAGGCGAAGTCGTTTGCCGTCTTCGAGCTCGAAATTCCTTTGATTTCAACCTTCTGGGCTCCGTCGCAACCAGACCCCAGGCTAACGGGAGTGCCTTCCCGCCTAGAAAAGAATGCATACGAAATTGCAATGTCAAAGAATGTCAATGATCCTTTGTTGGGTGGACGATCAAAAGCAACGAATAAGAAAGGAAAAYCACGAGCGGCAGGCAACCGGCGCAGGCTCTTTCCCGAAAAACCGCACAGGTCGAAAAAAGAYACTTCYCTGAATAATGGAATTGGGAACAGAGAGACTTCGAAGATATCGGCAGCGAATTATTCTAGTTATCACTCTGGTTCGATCAGGGGAAGCAAAACGAACAAGAGGAKCTTGTCGACGATGACATTCGGKTTTAGGAATGAATTTCAATCTCAAAGCAYKYCATTTTCATTGCATACGACTTCGTCGCTTTTGGGGACTTTGGAATCCATGAAACAACCGACATCAAACAKGAACTCTATGCCATTSTCACAATTCACAGCAAGATCAACGCTTCGCGAAASAACTCTGGGTTCTCTTTCAAACAAACCTCWAAAAGATTGYACGAGAAAAATTCATGCCGCTACGTACTCAAAATATGGYACCAAAAGCACCGGCTACCGTGGGCGTCTGTTTGCTGCAGGTCTTACTGCCGCTKCATTTTTCTTTAATCCGGTCAATGCTGCAAAAGAAAGCACATCGTCATACCTGTCGTTCTACAAAAGGYACCAAATATCCGCATGGGATTACCAGAACAAACACATCAAAACTCGAGAGTTTTTAGAACCTTGGTCACTTCCTCGTGGTGGCGACTACGAACCGAGCTCGTCMGYCYTGCCACCGCAAAGTCCTGCGCCCCCATTGGAATTTGCCCACGGAACCACAACTCTTTCGTTTGCATTCCAGGGTGGGATCATCGCCGCGGTGGATTCCCGCGCCAGCATGGGCCAATTTGTTGGAAGCAAGACCACACAAAAAGTCTTGCCGGTCAGTTCCCACATCCTTGGCACGATGGCGGGGGGAGCTGCCGATTGCCAGCACTGGATCCGGAAACTCAAGTCCGAGGCCCTCCTGCACGAGCTGACCGAAAGTGGCCGCCGTATGAGCGTGGCGCRTGCCTCGCGGATCCTGGCGGACTACCTCTATTCGCTGCGGGGATACGATCTGTCCGTGGGAACTATGATCATGGGATACGACGACTACGGGATCGAGAGCGACACGGGCAAGACCGACGGCGGCGCGTCCAATCCATACATTTACTATGTCGACAACACCGGGTTGCGCATCCAGGGTGACATGTTTGCCGTGGGATCRGGGAGCACCTTTGCGCTGGGGATTCTTGATTCGGAAGCWAACCGATACAACCTGAGCGTCGACGAAGCTATTTCTCTAGGCATCAGGGCCATTCGACACGCYACATTTCGAGATGCGTATAGCGGGGGATATATCAACGTATACCTGATTACACCGAAGGACGGCTGGAAAAGAGTCTAYACAGAGGACATTGCCCGTACACCGGAAGTTTGGAACGCGCTAAAARAAGACCGATCGGACGACGAGAAATGAAACCTATCATAACACAACATAAAAAACAACGAGACTATTAAAATTACGATTGTTTTACGGTAATATGCATTCTGTGTATATAAAGGAATCACGGGCAAGCGTCCCATGCCGACGCTACGAATTCTATGTGCCATCCGTGACTGTCTTCAGCAGATTCGAGCTTTAGTTCGACTTCAATTGTTGGTCTTTCCTCGAAAGTAGCGCCTGGAGTTCTCTGAGGCGGATACTCTTTGTTTGGGTGACCTTCATAAATGCCGGCTGCGTGCTAATGACAAAGAGAAGAAACTTTACACGCCTTGGATTGATCCCAGTTCCGGCATTGCTGCCACTCTTCAACTGGTGCTCACCTYCAAACGCGGCGATGCAGCTTCTCAGATGTCGAAGGTCGTGGTGATAGTCGTCCCTTAGCTCTTTGTCGCTCTCGCCACCATGATTCGCTAGATCTCTGAGAGGTCCCATTACCGACTTTGGGAGCCTCTTGAGGTGACAATGTGCATGGTAAGCATTCATCTCGATCGTTGAGCGAGATGTCAGGACCGGAGAGATCAGACCGAAAGAAAGAAGGGCATCGATGGCTGACTTGCTCAGTTTACAAGATTGTTTGCTTCTGCTACTGCTGTTGCTGCTGCTGCTTTTCGTGTTCTTCGCGCCAGCAACTTCTTCCAAGCGTGCACTGAGCATACGAAACCGCACCGCCGGAAAGAGAGTTTCAGGGATTTCCGCGGTGGCAAAAATGGCATCGAACGCGATTTTGAGACTTTCGTCGTGGTTGTACTGGCACAAGAGCAGGGTCACGTCGCACATCAGCAAATACAGAAGGACTTCTTTGAGACGGAAGTCCTCGGTGAGCATCGGAGGAGACCCTGGCTTCTGCTTCGATTGTTTCTTCTTGAGTTGCGTTACCTTCTCTGCCGTGTAGCGCCTCTTTGATTTTTTGTCTTTCTTCCTTTTGAGTCTCGATCGTTTGGGGGGGGACGTCGGGAGCGACAACGAACCATCCTCTTGTGCTGGCTGGCGGTCGTCTCTGATCGCCACGAGACCGTCGTCGTCGTCGTTGCCATTGTCTCTTCCGATCCCAGACTCGACGATGACTTCCATGATGCTCTTTGTCTTGGTCAACATCCCTTTGATGTTCTCTTGTGAGGATCCTGTTGTCGATGGCGGTATTGACGGCTGTGTTGCTTGCTCTCGAAGGATTGTATGTTTACTGCAATCAAAACTTGTGAGGACTACAAAAAGAGGCGATGCCGATCCATTCCCTCGGAAGGAAAAGCGGGACACCTCGCTACATCCTGCAGTGCGAAGCCAAATCGGCAGCGTGGTGCGATCTATCTATCGCCAGTATTGTATCTTCCATTCTGTTATGTTGTGTAGGTTTTTTTTTGAAAGCATTCGGTTTTCAGGTTTTCTGAGATTTTTCGGACGTTGTTCTTCTTCGTGTTTTCTTTTTTGTGTTTAATATTTAATATTAATTAATATTAGAGTTAGTGTTAATTTTTGTTCGAATTTGACCCATAACCCATTATCCGGTTGTTGCCGAAGGACGGACGGGAACAGTGGAAGGATGCGCATTTGGAACGCAAAAATGTGAAACACGCATTTTATTGTGTGGCTTTGCACACGCCGCTTTCTTGCACAAAGCTCTGCTACGTGCTGTACTTTCAGTACCATATCGTACTGTTTTCTCTGTACTCGCACGGCAACTTTCTTGCTTTCCCTCCGGACCAAGGGCTGTCTGCTCCAACAACACCTAACATATCCGCTATTGCCATTGTCGAGCAGATCTTCCCGGCTACTACGCATTCTTACCCGCACCCTMGAYCCGYGTTCCGCACAGCCCGGAGCCAACAACAGACAGCCCMGACCCTTAYAAACAGCAACAGCAAAGCAAAAAGAAGATGAGCAGATTCTGGGCGGGAGACGATTCCTCGGACGAATCGGCGTCCGACTCGGACTCCTCCTTTTACTCGTCGGACGAGGACGTCGGCCGCAACGCCGCCGGAAACGCCGCCAACCGGTGGGCGGACCTCTCCGATTCCGACTCGGACGACGACGAAGCCCGCGTCGTCAAGAGCGCCAAGGACCGTGCCCTCGAGACCTTCCAAAACTCCATCATTGCCATTCGCACCGCCATGAGAAAGCGCGACTACTACGTCATCCAGACGGAGTTTGACGACCTGGCCAAGGCCATGATCAAGAACAAAAAGGTCTTGCAAGCCGGGGTCCCCCGTCCGCTGGTCAAGCTSCTAGTAGATCTCGAGGACACGTACATTCCYGAGCGGCTCGCCGACAAGGCGGCCTTCAAGAAGCTCTCGGCGCGCCAGGGCCGTTCGCTCAACCGAATGAAGCTCACCCTCAAGAAGCACAACAAGCCCTACGCGGTGGTCATGGATCACTATCGCAAGAGCCCCGACGACGACGATGATGATGACCACGTGGATTTGCTCGGAGACGCCGCYGGCGACGACGACGATTCGGACAGCGACAGCTCCAGCTCGAGCAGCAGCTCGTCCAGCAGCTCTTCCTCGAGTTCTTCCTCGAGTGGCAGCGACAGTGTGAGTTTCAATTTGATTCATTTCGTTTCGTTTCGAGTCTCGGGTGCTTTGTCGCATTTGTTGCCGTTGTTGCCAGTGTTTGGATTTGTGAATTACGTTTTGCCACGATCAGCATGCACGCATCCATCGCTGTCATATTACACCCATCCGGTGTCGTCACAAGGATGCCAATTCAACCCTTAGGGTTTGAATTCCTCGTTTCTGATTGCGTGCGCCGGCTCAATGCTCCAACATTCGTCGCTGGCAAAGCGGCGAGGAGACGAGCKCGGTGCGATGCATGAGACTAACTTATTACCATATTTTTGAGTGACGACACGGATGCAGTCCATCGAGCAGCCTTATGCAACTCTGTGTTGCAGGTTGCAGTAKAAATGCGATCCTATGCGATGCAATCCGAACAAGATACACGGAGAAGAGCCCCRTTCCTCTCTTTTTCGTTCCACTCACTCTTGTTTTGTGTCCGTGCCTGGCAATTGTTTGTAACCCTTCCTTCTTTCACACCGTCCTCAGGATTCGGGCAGCGACTCCGACAGCGACGACAGCGAAATCGACTGGGACGCCCCCGACTCGGACTCGGATTCATCCGACGACAGCGATGACGGCCTTGGCGAGCTCAAGGGACGYGCTAAGTGGCTCAAGAAGGCGGTTGTTGTCAAGAAAAAGAAGGACAAGGACACCGGAGCCAAAACCGGAGACGACACGAAGAAGAGGGAACTCGCCCTCAAGAAGGAAGCCATGGTGTCCTCCAAGGACCACGAAGCCATTCGTGCCCCCAAGTCGGTCATCCCGGTGGAGGGTTTGACAGCTGCCCTGCTCAACAAGAAGGTACAGGAAATCGCATCCTCGCGGGGACGCCGCGGAACGGACCCCCGCCACCTGCTCCGGCAATTCGAGGGATTATCCCGCCTCGCCATGAAGTTTGGACCCCGGGTCGAGGTTCCCATTCTGATGTACGTCATTAGCGCCCAGTTCTCTCTCCAGCGCACMATGGACGACTACATGGACACGGCAACCTGGAAGTCCTGCTCGACCTACCTCGAACGCATCACTAGGTTCATTAGCGAGGATGGATACAAGCTCGGTGTTCAGACCATTGACGAGGCCGACATGATCCTGGGATCCGGAAAGGCCAAGAACCGCATGAAGGCGGCTGCTGCTCTTGGCGGTGCCATGGAAGCGGTCGCGGCAGACGAAAAGCTCGTCAACCCACACACCGGAGAGCCAGAAACCGCGGACGAACGCCTGGAACGCGAGCGCGTCGAGAAGGAGGAGGCCATGACGGAAGAGGAGAAGAAGACCATCCCCGTGGTCGGATCCCTGGCCCTGCACATGTCCCGGCTCGAAGAAGAATACACCAAGAGCCTCCAGAAAATTTCCCACCACACACAGGAATATGTCACGCGCCTCCGGGACGAATCCAAGCTCGTTTCGCTCCTCGCCAAGGCCCAGGCCTATTTCGAACGAGAGGGCATGGTCAACGAAACCGCCCAGATGGCTCAGCTTTACCTSGAACACATTTACTACCGTCACGATTCCATCGGACGACAGGTCGACAAGGCCGCAGAGTTTTACGACAAGTTTGGCGAGGTCGACATGCTCCACCCCGTSTGCGTCACCAAGCACGCTGCCACCGGTACCGAAATTGATACCGCTACCACCCACCCCGCAGCCAGCTCTGGAAAACCCGCCCTGGACGATGCTGCTTCGGCCGCCGAAAATACGGATTACACTGCACTCGTGGGCAAGCTTTGTACCTACATTTACAACCACGGAACCGAACAATCCAAGAAGCGTTCGACCATCTGCCACGTCTACCACCACGCTCTCCACGATCGATTCATCGAAGCYAGGGACTTGTTGCTCATGTCCCATATTCAAGAAGTTATCTACGATGTCGATGACATTACCACTATGATTATGTTCAACCGAATGATGGTCCAGCTGGGTATGTGTGCCTTCCGTGATGGCCGCATCTGGGAGTCTCATCAGTGTCTGACCGAAATCTGTAGCAGCCGAGTCCGTGAATTGCTAGCACAGGGAATGAGCATGGGACGCTACAGCGACAAGACGCCCGAGCAAGAAAAGGCCGAGAAACGCCGACAGGTTCCGTATTACCAGCACATCAACCTGGATTTGTTGGAAGGATGCCACTTGATCAGTGCCATGCTACTGGAAATTCCCAACATTGCTGCGGCTTCGGTGGCCGGTGCCGATCCTCGCCGTACCCGCCCTATCTCTCGATCCTTCCGCAAGTTYCAAGACATTTACAGCCACCAGGTCTTCACCGGTCCGCCGGAACAAACCCGCGACCACGTGATGCGGGCTGCCAATGCCCTCTCGAAGGGAGATTGGAAGACTTGTGTCGACCTGTGCACGGGCTTGGAGGTCTGGAACCTGGTTCCCGGAGAWGGTTCCGCCGAAAAGATAAAAACCATGCTTGCCTCGAAGATCAAGTTGGAAGGTCTGCGCACATACCTCTTTGCCTTTTTCAAGCAGTACGATTCGCTCTCTCTCAGCCAGCTGTGTGCTATGTTTGATATGACCAAGAACGAAGTCCACAGTGTTGTTTCGAAAATGATTATCAACCGAGAATTGCTTGCTTCTTGGGATCAGCCAACCGAAACAATTGTCTTGCGCAAGGCGGATCCGAGCCCCGTGCAGATGATGGCTCTTCAGTATTCGGAAAAGGCTGTCAGCTTGGTAGAAGCCAACGAACGTTTGTTGGACTCTTTCTCGGGCCGCAAGGACGACCAATGGAGAGGTGGCCGTGGCGGAGGCCGTGGCGGAGGCCGCGGTGGCGACCGAGACGGACGAAGTGGTTACAATAACAACAACATGAACAACAACAACCGCGGAGGACGCGGTGGCGGCCGAGGCGGTAGAGGACGCGGCCGCGGTGGACGTGGCCGTGGAAAAGGTGGACGCGGTCGTGGAAGCAACCAGCGTCGTTACTAGACAACCAATCGGTACAGCGGGTATTTGAAATTGTTTTTCACTTACCAATAATTTTTAGAAAAATAACAACAACTATGCAACTATAATTGAATCTCTATTATTCTTCGCGATCAGAACGAGGATTGGCGCGTTCATCTCTTACAACGTCGAAGACTGAAAAAAGGAAAGAATAGTGCGAATCAATCAATACTGTGAACGATACTTATTTTCTTACGTTAGTCTCGGATTCATTCAGATTACCCAAATGGCTCTATAGCTTGTACCGTTAGCCTTGCGCAAACATCCAGGAGTTCTTCACTGTTTGGRAAAAAACAAAACAACAACAACTAGACATCGCRACCATGATATTTCATTATCTATCAATATTCTCTTGACGCCATTATTAATAATTTGAAAACACATCCCCCTACAATTTCCCCGTGCGCTATCTATCTACAACATTTGCAGCATTTTGTTTTTCCCCCCAGGAGTACCTCGCTCTCGATGGCGATCCATGTCACTCAAACCACTTGTTTCGTTGCTCCCGGGAGTTTGGAAATTCCCTGCCCCGTTGCTTCCAGGTGTCATACTGCTGCTGAGATTATTGTTRTTGTACAAATAGCTGATATTGCCACCAAACCCACCGGTTGCCGAGCTCGCTAGGGAAGGTTCAGGGCTCGCCTCGTACAGGGCCCTCCAGTCCTCCTCGTGAATGTCGTCAAGGATCATGCTGAAACAAGACACCAGCGAATCGCGTTCCAGTTTGCTATTAGCCTGCAGATCCAGGCTTCCATTCTGTGTAAGCAACGACAGGCACACCGTATCTGGAATGCTTCCGCCCTTGGTGAGCTGAAGCGCGTGCGTCTTCTTCCCCACATCGATGTAGAGGACGTTCTTGAGGGAGATCGAGTGGAGACTCCCCCTCATCAGGACGATCGAAACCTGCCCGTTCTGGTCCGGAACCCGCCGCGGAAACTCGGTTTGCCAGGTCACGCTTGGTTCCTTGCGTTTGGTGGAGGAACCATCGTTCGGGCTGTTGTGGCTGTTACTCTCGTCCTGCAGCCGAATCCAGACGCGTTTTGGGTCGCAGTGGACCCCGTGTGCCACCAAACGAATCCCCCGTCCCTGGAGGCGCGCCATGGTTTCAGCAATTATTTTGTTCGGGGGAATMCGTTTGAGAGCGGGGTGTTCGGGAGAGGGTGGGGTTTTCATCATGTTTGCCATCGCGGCAGAGTTGTTGCTGCTGCTGCCGGCGCTGTAGTTTCCTCCCCGTGGCGGTGACAAATGGGCTGGCGAWGGAGTCGCATGGAGACCGCTGATAGAATGTTCRTTAGAGTTGATGRATCCCGGAACATGGTTTCTCAGCACTCCCGCTGCATACTGTTGTTGATGCCGACGTTGCTGCTGTTGTGCATYGCCGCGGTTTCCGTAGCTRTCCATGCTACTTGTGGTGACTTCCGACTGAGCTTTTGCCGCTGGGGCCGGCATCCAGTAGCCCGCTGCSGGCATATTSTTGTCGAGTCTCTGGGCATARCGTTTCCGATTGGCTCCAAAGTATTGCTTCCGAACCCCACGTGGCAACAGCAGGTAGAGTACCCAGAGACAGAGGCACGACGCCAAAAATATAGTGTACGAAAAGACAGACTCCGGAAACGGATTGAGGGCTGCAGGGATCGAGAGCTGGGYTTCCGGGATTGGTTGCTGTGACGACTGCGATTGATATTGAAGCTGTTGTGGAAGTTGGTTTTTCCGAAGAATCCCATTGGTTTSAGAGGAGGAGGGATCTACTGCATAAGAGTAGCTCGGTTGCTGCTGATGTCGAACAAGCAGTGATTCGGTCGATGCTCCCAAGGATGACGATAACGATGACGCTGGCATCGATAATCTGTTGCCTTGCAGGCCCATTTCGTGGTCCGCCATTTCGGACAATGGKACGAAACGATCGTTGACTTGCAGTGCTTTTTACGTTSGTCCGTGAAGCCAGAGTTGTGCTATTAATATKACGAGTACTGGTACCGAGTACAGAGGTCAGATATGGTATGTACTAGTAGTAATTAGCCTGTAGATGTACGTATGGTAGAGTACTCGAAGTTGTTTTCCCCTGTAATGCTGCACTAAGATGAATACGAGTACCGGTTTTTGCTCGACTGACCAAACAATGAGAAATCAGAAATGTTTTCGRCTTGGTGGGTTCGAGCTTCCAACGGAAAACAATCGCCAGCCAATCACGCATGTCGCACTCGTACCTATCACCATACCTATCATATCATAATTCAATAGATAGTGACAGTGGCTTCGAAATTCGAAAGGGTAACCTGCGAAATGCTGATAGGCTCCTTAGTGTATGATAATACGTGGTTTACAATAAAGAGTGAGCTTATTCACTATCTACTCGTGATTTAGGCTCACAATAGTTCCCGAACCATCAAGTAGCATATGTAGTTTTAGTCTTCYAATAAGAATTTAAATATTATGTTGTTTAATAAATTGACAGGGACGAAGAACATTGATAGCCTTTTGAATCCAATCAATTAAGTCAGATGAATGTAAAGTGTCTTCCATTAGGCGCTATTGACGAGTACGTATGCGAAGTATGACATAAATGCTTAAAGAGCAAGAACGATAGTGACTTCAATTCCATACTTTTCGCAACATAGAAAACACTCCTGCCTTCCGATGTCGAGAGGGAAGAAYGTTAGGCACTTATCGGCWCTCGTGATGATTGCCTTAATTATCGGGTTTCTTTWTAAATCCAAAAGTGATACTCACATAAAGTTCTTCGAAATTGATCTTTTGGCACTCCCTGGAACAAAGATTGATAGTTCAACAAAAACAAACTTTTCTAAGGCTTTTCCACATCATGCCTAATATCAGTCGTGATCYTATTCAAACGTCAGATCTTGTGTCTACCACGCATGTGCACCAGTACCGATTACGATATATTGCAGACAACACAATGATCAGGGATAATTTTATCATTTTTTGACAGGTGTCCTTTTCCGATAAGKAATGAATCTAGTGGTAGGCATTGATCTCTCCACGTGTACGCACGTTTATTTGAGCATCAATGAGAGCGAAAAAGAACTCTACGTATTCGCTTTGAAGATGTGCAAAGGAAAAGGTAGTACCRTATTGGATTGTTCCTTCAAAGATATCGGAAGCTTCGAAAGCTGAAGCACCCTACCATTTGTAAGGTTCAATACCGTACGTACAGTACATCTCGAGAATCGCTTTTGGTCTGAATTCTCGATAGTAACTTTTAATCCCAACTCACAAAAAAATCTTTTCGAAGTTCAAACCAAATCAAGCAAACAAGCCAAGAACAATCACCATGTCCAGCTGTTGTGGAAGCTCACTCAAGCACAAGGTGCCAGAGATTGTCAAGCTSRATGACGACAAGGCCAAYGATATGCGTGAGGCACTCATCATGAAGGAGGTGAAACTCCCTCTTGCCACCCAGACCCACGAGGTTTGCTGGGAACCGGTGACCCAGCATGTTTACGTGACGCAAATGACCAACTCAACCCTGGTCCGAATTGGTGTCGACTCCAAGGGTATGCTCCTCGACAAGATGGAAGCATGGAGAGTAGGCCCCGAAAATGGTGGACTTCACAACGCCAGTATTTCCTACAAGAACCCTGGATGTCTCTGGCTGACCTGTCAGTATCTAAACCTCCTCCTCCTCGTCGATGTTCGCCCAGAGAACATGATGCAAGTCAAGGAAATCTATCAAGTCCCATCCTACTTCAAGGACCCAAAAACCGACCAGRTCTTGCACATCGGTGGTCCCCACTGCACACGTGAGTGCCCTCACACTGGCCAGATGTGGGCATGCCTTAAGGGTGCACTCGACGACAACAAGAACAACAACCCTTGCGGTAAACTCAGTCAGTGCTGCGACCCCGAAAAGCTCAAGGCAAATATGGAAGAACACAGCAAGGATCCCGAGTACGACATCAAGATTCCGAACAGTTACGCCGTGTGGCAGTTAGACACCAAGAATTACGACCCGAACTCCGAGTGCGGTGCCAAGGGAGGAAAACTCTACCACTGCCGCAACTCCCCACCCATGCTTGCCCTAGACGCGAAGGGAAACGCKTGGATCCCACAGGATCAGTCCGACACCATTCAGTTCATCGACCAAGAGAAAAAGGAATCCGTGCAACTCCAAATTCCCTGGCCCGAGGATGCCAAGATCGCCGAAAAACATACCGGCCCCGGCATTGCGACGGCACCGGACGGYTCTATTTGGATGGTCCAGCTCGAGACTAACGCAACACTGGTCCGAATCGATCCCGAAACCCAGAAACGGACTCTGTACGACATCCAAACMCCGGAATGGGCACGCGGGATTCGMATGATCCACCTCGACTTCCGCGCGGCCTCGGTTCCGGAGCATCCCAACCGCATCTACGCGATTTCAAGCACGCTTCTCCAGGACGAGTCGACGGACGCTCTTTTCATCATGAAYATGTGCAATGACTGGAAATGCATCGAAGGAATGCGAATTGTTCCGTTGCCCTCRCAGGGAAGTGCCTGTCATCGCATCGCCTATTGCGAAATCGAGGACGGGGACGATGAATGTGACGATGGATCCGTCTTTATCACGGAACTGAGCAAGTCTAAGCTTCTMCAGGTCAAGGTCAACAATGACGTCCTCATGCACGGTCTCACCGAAGAAGTTATCGCCTGGGAAGGCTTTGAACACCGCAAGTATGCGATGACCGATGAAACATTTTTCGGACGTTAAAATGAGAAGAGAAGAGAAGAGTTTTGAACCTGAGGCAAACAAGGAAGTGAAGGCAGAAGCTGGTCCATATATTCACAAAATTCAAAATACAATGGTTTTGTAGTCCAATGCAATTAGCAACGGCA